TGATGAATCAGTTGCCTTCCATGATATGTTGCCAAGGTTATTTTAAAATTTAGTATGAAATAAATAGAAGATAATAATATCGATCGATCGATATCGATAAACTTTGATTTGCCGACCACAATGCAAATCCTCATAAAGTAATATTTTCCACATATTAAGTGCAGTCACAGGTCGTCCCGAGATCACATTTACACCGTAATATATTATTATTATGATTAATCTACTTTTTATGAAATAATACTCACTTGTAGTTCCTAAAAGCTCATAACTGTTCCTCTGCAATATAGCATCACTTTTCATACACACACACACATATTTTAGTTTATGAAGTAAGATAAGTAACCGAATTATTCCAATGCATATATTAAAATAATTATGATTTTTAAATATTGTGAGGGTATTGCTACCGCCCACCATCTCCAAAAGGCAGTTAAATAAAATGTATAAATAAAATTTCCACTCCCAAACTATGGCCACATAATATAACATCACGATAATCCACTTATATTGTATATGAATACGAGAGCCACATTTAATTAATATAAAATACAACCGATAGAAACAAAAATAAAAACAAAATCGGGTATATAAATAATAGTCACAAGTCTCAGTACAAACCAGTGAGTCGCCGCAACACAAAACTCGTAAACATGTTACAGAGTAGTGAAGAGAACAGAGCGCGCATGCATTGGTATGTTTATCAATGACGAATGACTTGTAAGTGATTACAATTAATAATAGAAATACAAGAACAGTGCANTATTATTATTAAGTGCAGTCACAGGTCGTCCCGAGATCACATTTACACCGTAATATATTATTATTTTGATTAATCTACTTTTTATGAAATAATACTCACTTGTAATTCCTAAAAGCTCAAAACTGTTCCTCTGCAATATAGCATTACTTTTCATACACACACACACATATTTTAGTTTATGAAGTAAGCTAAGTAACCGAATTATTCCAATGCATATATTAAAATAATTACGATTTTTAAATATTGTGAGGTCCAAGGATGGTTCTTACGGAAAAAAATATTAAGAAAATCTCTACGCTAAGGCGGTACGAAGTTCGCCGGGTCAGCTAGTTAATAATAGAAATACAAGAACAGTGCACGCATATGGCGAATGTAAAATTAGGTTTTTAACGTTGTGGAACCGCAAGTGGCTTGATTTTTTGAAGTTCATCTTCCGATCGTATTGCAAATACAGGAGACGTGTCGCTGGCTCTGACGAGTATGGTGCCGGTTTTGATCCACACATGACGATATCCTTTGTCGTAAGCGGCATCTCTGACTTTTCGAAATAATTGTTTATTCTCCAAGGTAAGGTGTTCGTTGACATAGATGTTACGCGGAGGCCCAGGGATTTCTAATTTGTCTGATGTAATTCCCTTCTTAAGACGCACAGCAGATATGAAGTTGTCGCGTTTAATTTGGCTGCAGAGTTTCACCACGATATTTCTTGGCCTAGAACTTTTTGGGTCCATTTGGGCAACACGATGAATTCCCACAATGTCTTGACTGCAAAGAGGGTAATTAACAGCAGTTGCTATTTTTTCAACAGTTGTAATTAAATTCTCTCCACGCTTTTCTGGAAGATTACTAATCTCTATATTGCAGCTACGCGCTTTTTGTTCCAGGTCCGCCAATTTAGATTGTAGTCTCGTGATTATTTCAGACGAATTGGATACTTCGACTTGCTTTTCAACCTGTGTANGGTGTCATTGTAATTACCTTCTCATTAAATAATAATAAGTATTGTAAGTGTATTGTCGATGATACTGAATAAACATTTTTTCTTTCTTTCTTTCTTTCTTTCTGTGTAAGGCGAGCACAAATTGTCTGTGTTTTTTGGTTCAAGTCGTCATATTTTTCACTTAGAAAATTCATTGACTGCTTAATTTCTTGAAATTCATTTAGAATCAATGAAAGTTTCTCATCTTGTCTAGTAAACCAATTTTCAAGTTGTTTATTCATGCTGGCTTGAAAAGCTAGGAGTTGACTTTGGAGCTCATGATCAGAGTTGCGCGAAGTGCCCTTCCTCTGGGTCACATAGGAGGGTGTTGTTTGCTCTTCAACAAGAACATTGTCCACACTCATGTCTCCCCGTCCAACCAGCTCATCGGGTTGACTTATAAAGGTGCGATCAAGTCTGCTCATATTACCAATGTGAAGTGTCTGAATCAGAAAGTACTCTGTGCAGGTGACGTATCTTGCTCACGTAAGGTGCGTGTGCGTGGGGGTCGATCAATCACTATTCCTCTCACTCGCACTTGTGGACGGTATGGCGCACACTGGGTTATACACGGATCACACAGCTGACTGTCACTGCGACGCGAAGCGGAATGAAAAAGTAACTGATAAAGGTAGCAGGAAGGCGCTGGATGCAGGCCGCTACCAACCGTGCGATGTGGAAGTCATTAGGGGAGGCCTATGTCCAGCAGTGGACGTCCTGTGGCTGAAATGATGATGATGATGACTCTTAATATAGTCAGTTCTGGTGGTTCACGTACTAAATTAATGCGCCAGTAGTCACGGGTTCGATCTCTGTACAATGTAGCGGCCGCCAGCGACTTCGTACGCGTGGATCCCGTTTTACCCCCTTAGGGGTGGAGTTTCGTAAAATCCTTTCTTAGCGGATGCCTACGTCATAACATCTACCTGCATGCCAAAAGACAATGCCGGAAATTGGCGTCTTTTTTTTTTCGCGCGGCCATCGACCAAACTTTGTTTTTTGATTACAAAATAGTGTAATAAACCAAACTTACTATGACATGTATACCTCTAAACTCAGTCTGAACTGAGTTACGAGCATTAGAAGTTTGATGATTTTCATACAAGATTTGCTTTTTGTGCGCAAGTTTTGTAAGAAATTGCAACATTTTGTTGGCCGCGCGAAAAAAAAAAGACGCCACCTTCCATACAAAATCTGGCATTGCCATTTCAGCCCGATCCGTCCAGTGGTTTGGGCTGTGCGTTGATAGATCACTATGTCAGTCAGTCAGTCACCCTTGAGTTATAATAATGGTTGTATTGGTAATAATGGTCTCGCCTGAAAACACCTTTAACCAGCTGACGGTTGTTATTGGCGGTCAAACTGTACATCCAGCAGTTGCAGCGGTGAGAATGAGAGGTGGGAATAATCCCATTGCTTGCAATTCGTCGTCCCATTGCGTGCAATTCGTCGTCCCATTGCGTGCAATTCGTCGTCCCCTTGCTTGCAATTTGTCGTCCCCTTGCTTGCAGCTCGTCGTCCCCTTGCTTGCAGCTCGCCGTCCCATTGCTTGCAATTCATCGTCCCCTTGCTTGCAATTCGTCGTCCCCTTGCTTGCAGCTCGCCGTCCCATTGCTTGCAACTCGCCGTCCCCTTGCTTGCAAATCGTCCCCTTTTGCTTGCAATTCGTCCCCTTGCTTGCAACTCGCCGTCCCATTGCTTGCAATTCGTCGTCCCTTGCTTGCAGCTCGGCGAGTTGATAAGTGTGCTATAACCTTTTCAAACTACTCACCCCTTAGAAGCGAGGAACCTAGCAGCCGGCGAGTTCCTAGCAACAGACCCGGCTGGCGCGATTGGGGGACTAGCGGAGAGGGGGCTAGCGGAGAGGGGCTGCGGAGAGGAGACTGGCGGAGAAGAGGCGACTAGCAGAAAGGAGATAAGATGAGACTAGCGGAGAGGAGACTGGCAGAGAGGAGGCGACTAGCGGAGAGGCGACTAGCGGGGAGGGGACTGGCGGAGAGGGACTAGCGGAGAGGAGAGGAGACTGGCGGAGAGGAGATGAGATAAAACTAGCGGAGAGGAGACGAGACTAGCGGAGAGGGGACTAGCGGAGACTAGCGGAGAGGGGACGAGAGGAAGGGAGGGGAGACTAGAGGAGAAGAGACCAGATGAGTCTAGCGGAGAGACTAGCGGAGAGGAGAGGAGATGAGAAGAGACTATCGGAGGGGGGACTAGCGGAGACTAGCGGAGAGGAGAGTAGACTAGCGGAGAGGACTAGCGGAGAGGCGACTAGTGGAGAGGAGACTAGCGGAGAGGAGACAAGATGAGACTAGCGGAGAGAAGACTATGAGACTAACGGAGAGGAGACGAGCGAAGCGGAGAAGAAAAGAAGAGACTAGCGGAGAGGGGAGAAGAGACTAGCGGAGAGGAGACGAGACTAGCGGAGAGGAGACAATTGGAGAAGAGACGAAAGGTATCTAGCGGAGAGGAGATTAGAGGAAAGGAGACGAGCGGAGTGAAGATGACTAAAAATGTCAGCTGTCCGTCTATTGCTGTCTACGTATCGCAATGATGATGATGATGATGATGATGACACTCACCCCTTAGAAGCGAGATGTGGTCTGTGGTCACCGAGTCGCCCAGCAGCAGCAGGCAGCGGGCTAGCGGAGAGGACTAGCGGAGAAGACTAGCGGAGAGGAGAGGAGACTAGCGGGGAGGGGACTATAGGAGAGGACTAGCAGAGAGGGGACTAGCGGAGAGGAGACTAGCGGAGAGGGGACTAGAGGAGAGGAAACTAGCGGAGAGGGGACTAGAGGAGAGGAAACTAGCGGAGAGGGGACGAAAGGAAGGGAGGGGAGACTAGAGGAGAAGAGACCAGATGAGTGTAGCGGAGAGGAGAGGAGACAAGAAGACTAGCGGAGAGCGGAATAGCGGAGAGGTGACTAGCGGAGAGGGACTAACGGAGAGGCGACTAGCGGAGAGGGACTACCGGAGAGGAGAGGAGACTAGCGGAGAGGATACTAGCGGAGAGGTGCCTAGACTAGCGGAGATGAGACAAGATGAGAGGAGATTAGCGGAGAGGAGACGAGACTAGCAGATACGACAAGATGAGAAGAAATTAGCGAAGAGGGGACTAGCGGAGAGGGGACTAGCGGAGAGGGGACTAGCGGAGAGGGGACTAGCGGAGAGGAGACGAGCGGAGAGAATTCCAGCGATGGGTCCAGCCATCAAAATGTGGTCTGCTTTACGCTGTCAATTGTCTTTAAATTACTAAACACACACTCACCCCTTAGAAGCGAGGAACCTGGCGGCCGGCGAGTTCCTGGCGATGGAGCCGGCTGGCGAGATGTGGTCTGTGGTCACCGAGTCGCCCAGCAGCAGCAGGCAGCGGGCTGACTTGATACCAGAGATTGGTGGTAAGTCCTGGAAGGGATAAAGATTGATTTTATATTTGAACTTTCATGGTCACTGTCATAATTTTTATTACTGACGGGATTGCTACCATGTACAGTAGAATCTCGATTATCCGGATATCCGATTATCCGGGCTCATTCTTTATGGTTCCTAATTACCGATTTAGGGTCTGGACCCATCAAAACGGCAAAGCGCCGCCACCGTAACACGGTACACACGTCGTCTTAGTTCATTGTTTAAAAAATGCATTCATCCAATGGTCTAAAATTTAGATTTTAGACTATAATTCTAAATGATAAATTGAAAACCCTTTTTATTGTAAAAAGTTAATTATTGTTTGATTTTACTTTGAAACCAATTATCCGGATTTTCGATTATCCGGAACACCCCTGGTTTTAATTGATCCGGATAGTCGGGATTCTACTGTACCTTAATTTTGAGTTTCCGATATTTCGGCACTGTTACTCCGTGACCATGGCGCTTGCAACAGTGCCATGGCGCTTGAAATATCGGAAACTCAAAATTAAGGTAAAGCCTGGTCCGTGAGCACGTAGAATCCCGTCCAATGACCCCAAGCTACCCATCCCTATCGCTCGCGCGTAATTATGTTGCTGTCGCGCTCGCACGCTCACTGCGGGCGCGCGTCGCACAGTCGCGACAGCAATATAATTACGCGCGAGCAATAAGGATGGGTAGCTTAGGGTCATTGGACGGGATTCTACGTGCTCACGGACCAGGCTTTAGTAGTTACATATGGTAGCAATCCCGTCAGTAATAAAAAACAGGATTGATTTTATTACTTTTTGAAAACAATAATAAAATTATAGAAGCCACGGTAGCCGAACGGTGAAGGGGTCGGACTGGCCGACTCGTGATCCGAGGAACGCGGGTTCGAACCCCGCCGAAGGACTATTGTGGTGAGCCCACTCGAGCACTCGTTAGACAAGCATATTTTATTTAGCTTAGGTTACTACAAAAATACAATTTTTTTTTTGTGTCAAAAAGTGACAGTTGTAATTTCGAAAGGTTCTTTTTTTTTTGTATGGAGTCACTTCTAAATATTTTGTTTTCTTTTTCTTTTTCTTTATCTCTTTTCTTCTTTCTTCTTTCCCTTTTCTTTTTCTTTCTTTTTTCCAATGACATAATATGTGTAAATGTGTGTTTTTTACTGACTCATTGAGAGCGCCCTTTTTCCTATTTTTCTTTATTCTCCTGTATTCTTTTCTTTTACTTTTTTTTTCTTTTCTCTTTTTTTTCTCTTCTTTCTTTTGTTTTTTCGTTTTTTTAAATGTTAATGTGTGCTTTTGCTATCAAATTAATTTCACTTACCCTGCTCATCCCGTCAAAGAACGGCGGTCGCTTGATGTAGGTAGAACTGACGTCCCAGCCATACAGCTTGCCCTGAGGCACTGAGAGGGCCTGCCACGAAGGAGAGCCTTGCTCGATCTTCTCGTACACCTGGAATATTAATAATAATAATTCACATCAGACTATACATGTTTTTGGATCGTCGGTTCACCTAGTGGGAGGCTTGCCCACGTTACGTCTTCCGGCCCGTGGTCGCCACTCAAGAACTTTCCTGCCCCAGCGGCCGTCAGCTCTACGAGCTATGTGCCCCGCCCACTGCCACTTGATTTTAGCGATTTAAATTATGTATTATGTATTTTTAAGTTAAATAAATATATGATTAATTGGATTCATTTAAAAAATACTTTTAAAAGTTATAATAATTTAGTTATATTTTTACTGAGAAACATGTTTTGCTCAATTCTCGCAATTTTTTACACTGTTTCTTGCGGAAAAAATAAATTACGTTATACTTGCCAGAAAAACCTCCCTCTGCTGCGGTGACCATTGAGCTACTCTAAGACATCGGACCCGTTAAGTTTATTACGTACAGTCACGGAATGAAAAGGTTCGTCAGTTTTCAAATTGATTCCTTCAACGAATCGCGAGCACATAATAATATTATAGCCCGACCAGGAACATAAAAACCCTCGCCATGTTGCGGAAAACTAATGGTACTATATTCTTTTAATGGCAACAGTATAGATGACCCACGCTGAACTGTCCCGCCAAACTCAATGACAGGGGGGCGCTACCATCGTTCAACTATATGGTTTCCAACATGGCAAAAATCTGNCAGCGTGGTAGGGGTGGGGTTGCCCGCTCTTTTGTTTTTTACTACTACTACGCTGAATATTGTGTGCGGATTGGGTTGTCGTACAGGGGTACTACACGGTAATATAAATCTCTTCGGCGAAAACAGGATAATTCAGATCGAACTTCACTTGGTAAGTTCGTTTGATCATCCAATAAAATATCATTAATCCGGAACCAAAGGTCAGATGTTAAACTGAAATGGTTAATAGAATCTTCGGGTAATTTATTGAAGCGAACATGATATTTGAAACAAATATGCACCTAAGCATGTGCTATTATTATGACATGGACATGACCGTGTGAGAAATCGTGATATCGTGAGAGGTGCGCGGGCGCATGCGCTGGGCGCAGGGCTGCCACTAAGTTCAGAAATGCTGTTTTTTATTTATTTCTATATTTATAAAAGGATACTGGAAGGTGTAGGTAGTTAACTTTCTTTGAAATTGGCAAAAATAATTAAAGACTATTAAGAAAGAGGTTTGTCCGTCCGAAAAACGCAGCGTGGGACGTTCACCCACAAGGTGGACCGACGACCTGATAAAGGTAGCAGGAAGGCGCTGGATGCAGGCCGCTATCAACCGTGCGATTCGGAAGTCATTGGGGGAGGCCTATGTTCAGCAGTGGACGTCCTGTGGCTGAAATGATAATGATGATGAAGAAAGAGGTATATTTATACTCCATCCGTAGAGGAGCGCAGGAGTTGGGTGCTAGGCTTCTGTCCAAAATCGTTACTTTATTTGCGACATCTTGCACAAACAATGTTCCTTGAGAAGGGAGCAGGAATTGTTTAACCGCTCTATGATATTTTTTATTAGACTTTTTTTTAAATATTGAAAAGCTCTAAGGCTTAAATAAATGGAACAAAGAAGTATAAAGGTCTTAGGTTCATTTTTCATGAACCAATACAATTAATAAATTGTTATACCTATTCTTTTCCAGGTCCATCGCCAGCCCTGTGCACGAGTCGCCAACTCACCCGCTCGGTGATCACGAGTTAATTGTTTCGTCCGGGAAGATATTTTGCACTTCGTCAGACAATGAGATTAATATTGATGCCAGGCTCATGCCCATACATCACCTGCTAATGCCGTCGAAAGGTTTATCGAGCAATCGATAGCTATAGATTTTATTGATAACACAAGATTTGAGTATTAGATGGAGATCCAGAGAGTATTGGATCTCCGATTCAAGTCGATATTTATGTCATTAATGGCGACTTAGGGACTACACATCAAACAGAGAATGGGCAGCAGCGCTCTCTGAAAAATATCAATCTTTTAAACTGCGATCTCCAACCCGCTTGCCAAGCGTGGAGATTATGGCAAAACCCTCCACTATAGTGGAGGAGGCTCATAGTCCAGCAGTGGACTGTAAACGGCTGTTGATGATGACTGCCTTCCTTAGTTACTGTTGCCAAGGCATTAAAGGCTTTTGGATAAAAATGGAACAATCGATTTCTGGACATTTTATTGAATCTTTCTGCAGCTTTTATTGGAATTTGGACATATTCTGCCTGCCATATAGTTTTACTAGCTTTCCGCCCGCGGCTTCGCCCGCGTGGAATTTTGTCTGTCACAGAAAAACATTATCGCGCGCGTCCCTGTTTCAAAAACCGGAATAAAAACTATCCTAAGTCCTTTCCCAGGACTCAAACTATCTCTATGCCAAATTTCATCAAAATCGGCTCAGTGATTTAGGCGTGAAAGTGAGACAGACAGACAGAGTTACTTTCGCATTTATAATATTAGAATAGATTAAAATCGATACATGTAGTTGTAGGTACGAGTATATGATACATCACTATTTTGTAACAGTTATCGTATTTTATGAATAGAGATAACTATCTAATGCGCATGAGTAGTTTTATTTGGACGTCAAATCATTTAAGTAATGAACGCTTATTTGTTTACGATTGCAATCAAAAGGCTATCTGGTATGATTGATACTTAAAATGAATTTAATTAAGCTGTGTCATCACGATTTAAATTTAACTATCCTAAAATATTTATGTAGGATAAACACTATTTTATAAATAGTAATTACATAATTACCATGAAGTGACTAAGGTAGAAAGTGATTTTAAAAATAGTAGTGTTTGTTTTCATTACTTCTGACACCAACAACTTTTGCAAATGAGTTTTAGAAATAAACTTCGTTTTTTACGTAATTCTTGTAATCTTTAAAATCAAGGCAAATCTACTCAGAATCATTTGGATCTATTAATTAATTTTATTTTTTACTTAATTCATAGTTATTCTGTTTTTTAGTCGTCTGTTCTTCTTCATCTAATAACTACATTATTTTTCACGTCCATAAATCTCGTTTAAAATATAGATTTACAGATTCTAATCATCATTCATGTAATTTTTTGCTATAAATACTTGATATTGTCCTTGATTAATTAATAATTATCACTCTACATATTGAAATGCTTAGGCTTCAGTTTGATAAATAATTAATTATTCACGGTCAAGTTTTATTGAAACTTAATCATTCAAAATGTCAAACTCATCAGCCAAATTAAGGTATATTAATTAATCTTCTGACTCATATACTTAGCCAACGGTGACCTTTAGTCCAGAGGTCACCAATTTGGGATAACACTTTCGTTTAACGAATTGCCTCAACAAAAACAATGGTTCTATTAGCACAAGGTCCCGCCCACTTTCTCATCAACTGTTAACAATCGGGTCGTCTTTTGTTAACCATCGGAAAGTAATTACTGTGGTTTGAGATAAGAAGATAGAGTGGTGAGAACGGCCAGCTCATTTAGGTGATGAACCAAGTGAAATAATCAATTCAAGATTGCATCTAAGAATACTGATTAGAAGCAACCTTGCAAGTGTAAATAGAATACTATTCTATTGCAGGTCTTGCAGGTCTTGTTTAACGTTATATTATTTCACGCACAAACCTTACTGGATTGCTAACATTATGTATTTACCAAAAATACAACCCGCTCGCCTTCGAATTAAAACTACAGTACCTAATTGAATAAGCAAGTAGCACGTTGTCTGTTGTTTTTAGCTGAAAAATATTATAAAAACACTATAAAAGTATTATAAAAATAGGATGAATTGCTCCATATAGTATTGGCATTGCAATTCCATCCTTCTTCTAAGTGACAATCTATGTTTCCGTGATTTATTCCGCCAACAATCATGTAAAAAAAATCCATAAAAACACTGGAATTTTTGTCTCGTCATTCATTTCCAAGTATAAATTCTACTCATCCAAGAGAACAAAATATGCATGTCAAGCTTTACTCTTCTATTTGGCCTACACCCGTAGCACTTGACAAGTTAACACCCACGTCAAGTCAAAAGCTGAGCGGAGCCGAGTGCGTACGAGTGCTCTTTATAAATCCAACCTACGAGTGTTCTACGAATTACGATTTATTTTTAATTGATTGTTTATGTAAGATTTTGGTCCGTCTATGATTTGTTGAATGTAAAATTTGAACGAAAAAGGGTTAGGATGGAGAAAGGAAAGAGCTTTTTTAAGTCCATTTTCTTGTAATGGTTATGTACTATTTATATAAAATATGAATTCATTATTATTTTTAGTTACTTATGCCCGTTTTCACCATCAATCCCTAATTTTTAAGTGACCCCTATGTAAACAAAATTCCTGTTATGTGTTACCAGGGGTCACTTAAAAATTAGGGATTGATGGTGAAAACGGGCATTAGAAGATTAATTTGTAAGTTTCCACTACCTTTGTGTATAATATTATGAAGATAAAAGATAAGTAGTTTCAAGCTTTTAAGTTTACGAAGCTTTTAGTTACCAAAGATAGATGCGATATGTAATTTTAAAAATAAAACGTTTTCAATTCAATTAAACCGCACATACCTTTTTATGAAGATAACTATCATGAAATCGAATCTTATTACATTATAACAATTACTAGCTTTCCGCCCGCGGCTTCGCCCGCGTGGAATTTTGTCTGTCACAGAAAAACTTTATCGCGCGCGTCCCTGTTTCAAAAACCGGGATAAAAACTATCCTATGTTCTTTCCCGGGACTCAAACTATCTCTATGCCAAATTTCATCAAAATCGGTTGCGAGGTTTAAGCGGGAAAGCGTAACAGACAGACAGACAGACAGACAGACAGACAGACAGACAGACAGACAGACAGACAGAGTTACTTTCGCATTTATAATATTAGTTGGGACTAGTTGGGATAGTTGGGATGTTACTGATATTGTTATACCTTTTAGTTTTTTTAGATCGATTTTGTTCAAACTTTTGCAGACAATAGAAATAATTAATCTAAAGCTTAATCCCGTGAAGGTCGTTATTTTGTAATTTTTAATTGT